CGCCAACCTCGCCTGGTTAACTAGTACACTAGTTACTAGCCGGACCTAAGCCCGGGTAAAGAGGGAAGGTTAGGCATAGGGCTAGCAACCCTACCCCGCAAAACAAATCTAACCGCTGAAGAAACTTCAAAGCACAAACGATATATAAAAAATAATAACAAAATTATTCCTTGCTGGAATCGGGGAGGCGAAATGACGCCAGTTGGTGAAAGCCTTTGGGGAGCCAATTGGCCAATGTGTCTTCTCTCGATGAAAGCGAAAGTAAACGTGGGGACGTGGAATGTCCGCACGATGTTTGAACCCAGCAAGGCAGACCAGATTGCAAACGAGATGAAGAGGTATCACATTGAAGTGCTTGGAATTTGCGAAAGCAGATGGAATGGGAGTGGACTCTCCAAACTGTCAACTGGAGAGGAGTCAATAATCTACTCTGATATTGTCACCCAGACGACAACCACGAGCACAGCACACTGAGTTATGGAGTGGCTATCATGATGTCCCCAACAGCATCGAAGGCTCTCAGGCAGTGGGAACCAATCTCCTCCAGGATCATGACAGCAAGATTCAACTCAAAAGGAAGGAAGGAAGATCACCATCATACAATGCTATGCACCTACAAATAATGCAGAGCAAGAGAGGAAGGAGGAATTCTACAGACAACTTCAATCAACACTGGACAAGACGTCAGTTGGCGATATCAAAATTCTAGTGGGCGACATGAATGCCAGCCAAACTGGGAGGGGACAACACAGGAAGAGAACTAACCATGGGTCGAGAAGCACTCGGTGAGGTGATGAAGGAGAATGGAGAATTGTTTGCAGAATTGTGTGCATTCAGCGATTTGGTGATTGGAGTGAGGCAGTGTGTTCAAGCACAAGGATATCCACAAGGCCGCAACATGGATTTCACCAGATACAAGGACACACTAAAAATCAAATCGACTTTGTGTCAATATGAAGAAAGTGGAGATGCAGTCTATTTGACACAAGGTCAGGAAGGGGAGCAGATGTAGGTTCAGACCACTAACTGTCTAGTGCAAGGAACCTTCAAAATCAGGTTGAAAGCCTTCAAGGAGGTTGATGATAGACCACAGTTCAAGTACAACGCTCAGAAACTGAAGGATGAAACTACAAAGGACATCTTCACGTCAGCCATCAGGAAAAAATGAGAGACATTAAGCAACATCCCCAAAGAAACCTGTGTGGAAGAACACTGGAAGTCTTTGAAAGCTATGTGGAAAGAAACCTGCACAACAGTATTAGGAAGGAAGAAGAAAGAAGACAAGGAATGGATCTCGACGGATACCTGGAAGCTGACAGAGGAGAGGAGGATGGTGAAGCAGAAGATAAACCAGTCCAGTGCAAGGATGCTCAACGGCAAGAGGAACTGAGTACAATGTATAAAACACTGGAGAAAGAAGTGAAGAAGAGTGCACGGAAAGACAAAAGACACTTCTACGAAACACTGGCAAGTAAAGCAGAACAGGCTGCAGGTAAGAGAGACCTGACAACACTGTATCAAATAACCACTATTGCAGAAGGTGTGGAAGGAAGATAAGGTACCTGGTGATTGGAAGAAGGGTTACCTTGTAAAACTGCCAAAGAAGGGAGACCTCAGTGTTTGCAAGAACTGGTGCGGAATCACTCTCCTGTCCACCCAAAGCAAGCAAAATATTAAGCGGCATCATCTTGGAGAGGCTAAAGGATGCACTGGATTCAAAACTACGACTAGAAGAGGCTGGATTCAGGATGTATAAGTCATGTACTGGTCAAATTGCAACGCTACGCTACGCATCATCGTGGAACAGAGTATAGAATGGCAGTCAACTCTCTACCTCAACTTTATCGACTTTGAGAAGGCCTTTGACAGCGTCGACCGAGAGGTAATTTGGAAACTGCTTCAATACTACGGAGTACCGCAAACCTTTATCTGCCTCATTCAACAACTATATGAAGACGCCACATGCCAGCCAAGTAATTCACAATGGGAAGCTCAGTGATGCTTTTGAAGTGAGGACAGGAAGGAGTGAAGCAAGGTTGCCTACTATTCCTCATGATATTCCTGATTGTGGTCGACTGGATTGGATCATGCAGCAAACAGTGGGGAGCGAGAAGAGGGGGATACACTAGCTGGACTGCGGAAAAGCACCTAGAAGACTTGGATTTCGCCACCGATGACTTGTGCCTGATGTCACATAAACTTTAAGATCTACAGGCGAAAACTAACAAGTTGATAGAAGAGGCAGCGAAGACGGGACTTCAGGTGAATATAGAGAAGACAGAGGTGATGAAGATACCGCACCAACACCATCAACAACAACAACAAACTCCAATCACCGTCAACGGGAGAAACTTAAAGGAAGTAACCTCCTTCACCTATCTAGGAAGCACTGTTTCAACTACAGGTGGCGGCACAGACGAGGATGTCGAAGTCAGAATCGGAAAGACAGCAAGACGGGCGTTCATTAGCCTGAAACCAGTGTGGAGATCTTCTGCACTCCACTCAGCATGTGAAACAAGATCCGGATTTTCAACACCAACGTCAAGTCAGTGCTTCTTTGTGGTGTTCAGAGACTTGGCGCGTTACGAAAGGGATTTCCAATAAACTACAGACATTCATCAACAACTGCCTACACTGGCTCACTACTGAAGATCAGATGGCCAGAATAATAAGATTAAGCAACAAGGAGCTCTGGGAAGGAAGCAACGAAGCAAGAACCTATCACCCAACAAATGTGGAGTAGAAGGAAGTGGAGATGGATTGTATTTGGCATACACTGAGAAGGCCGACTGGGGACATCACGCGTCAGGCCAGTTGCTCGAGTGGAATCCCCATGGGAAGTGAGGAGTTGGGCGAGGGTGTCCGGGGATGACACGGAGGAGATGGTGTGAGGAGGAAATGAGAGGTTGTGGGCTGTCATGGAGCCAGGTTGAAAAGATTTCAGAGAAGAGAGTGGACTGGAGACGTCCTACTGAAACCCTATGTTCCATTAGGAACCCAAGGGACTAATAATAATAATAATAATACATCTGCGCCACTGACATCGGTTTTGAGCCATATCACCTAGTCTCCGACCACTGGTTTCTCTCATCCCGTGGACCCTAACCAGCTAGTCTGCATCGCCCCACATGGCTCAAACCAACGGTCAAACACTTCATACATTGATGCCATGTTTTATTCTGGCCACGTCGGACCTTTTTCTAGCCTTGACCTACTTCGGTCAACATTATGTGACGAGGCAGTCGGCGACTAGGCGTACGTAACGCATGTCCTAACCATCTCAGTCGATGAAGGTTCATAACCTCGTCAACTGATTTACCTCTTCTCCCTAAAACTCTACACCTGACTTCTGTGTTACTCACGTGGTGGCACCACGGAATACGGCGGCCTACACTACGAAGGCAACGGTGATCAAACACCTGAAGACGTCTCATGTCTTCTACCTTTAATACCCATGTTTCACAACCACAGAGTAGAACAGACCGGACTGCTGTGCAGTGCATGCGATTTTTAATAGACAACCGGATATCGTGACGGCGCCATAGATGGTGTAAGTTGGCCAAAGCCAACTGAACGTTTTGTATCCATACAGAGATTTTGTCGGCCACTGAGCCACCAGGTCTGATCTAACTTCCTTGGTAAGTGAAAGTGTCCAATATGTCGAACCACTTCACTCTCCATTCTTAGCCGACGCACTGTTGAAGACCAATCCTGGAGCAACAATTTGCATTTAGGTGGTGAGAAACGCATTCCAAACATTCTCATATTACCACTCAAAGTGTCCAGAAGACTCTATATCATGTCAGCACTTTCACCTAACAGGACTATGTCATCTGCATATTCTTGGTCTAACAAAAATTCTTCTCTGATTAGGTCAGTCTCTGTGTAGTCAAGTGACGTGAGGGAGATCTCCATAAGAATTTCTGTGATAAAATTGGGGAGAGTGGGCATCATTGATGGACATCACTCGACGAGCACAGCTACCCAAACATCTCGCCATAGGATCTAACACAAGTGTTCGGGTAGGGAGCCTTCAATAAAGTGATGTACTTACTCGGCATGCCATTCAGTGAGTCAAATGCCGCCTTCAGGTTGAGAAATGTAGCTATTTTCGGGCATCGGTAAGGGCGCCTGTGTTCCAGAACCTGGCGCAGTGTGAATACACCTTGACCTCACTGATGGACGACTCATATCTTATAAAAAAGTCTAAGCATATTGATTGTAGTCTTCTATGCAATCGGAATGTTTACTATTTATCTCTCTCTTTTATTTTGTTGGTATTGTTTTTTTTCGATTATCATTCTGTTTCTGTGTACTACTACCACTACTTTCTATGCTGATATCCCAATGCGCGTCTGCTTGGACGTATACACTTCCAAGAAAATTTCCATGTTCATCTTTCTGTTTGTGTGTCCTGTCTGCATTTACCTTTTTCTTTACTACTTTGGCTATAAGTTTTTTCATCGTTGTTACGTCTTTTATATGCGCTTGTGTATATCTATCAATAATTATAAGGCTAACTGTCACCCTAGCATCTACAATTGATAGAAAATGCGCATTGATTTCCATTGATAGTTCAGAAACCAGTGTTTATTGAGGGATTGCTAGAACTTGATTCTACTTCCACTATAATCATTGGATCTCATATCAACGTTTTAGGCATTAGGGGGATTCTCTAAAATTATTGTTACTTAAGATGCTGTCAACTAAATAAGCTAGTGAATACTTTTTTAGTATTTGTTTTCTCACGTCGCTAATGACTTCTATGTTTAAGATTCCAATAAGTGACCTTCGGTTATAAAGAAGAAACCTAATTTCATCTAGCCAGTCCGACTAACTGTAAATTCTCGCGAAGATTCAACCCTTTTCTAGGTAATCTGTTATTGTGGTCTCCTATCATTGACAAACTTCCCTTCTGTCCAAATATCCATTTTATAATTCATTGTTCAACTAATAATTTCATACCTGTTTCTAGTGATATTTAAAAAAAATCTTCTCAGGTATGCTTCCACGTCTCAGTCCTGAAGTTTGGGTAACAGCAAGTGAATATCGTCCAGATTCAGACCTTAATGTGGACACAATTAGTACAACTGAAGAATTTCCTTATAATCCTGGATTTCGCCCACATGGAACGCGATCATTAGGTCGACCATTGTTCATCAGAGCCAATGAAACAGTTTGTGTACTTGGTAAAAGGTAATATCTCCTGAAATACAAATCCCTCTGCAATTAATTTTTTTGCTGTTAAATATTATACATTCATTCTAGTAAATGTGCGTGTTTATATAGCACTATTCAATATTGATTTAAAAGTATTCGTGATTTGCATATTTTAAAACAAAATACTTTGTTTGTTGTTATCTTTTCGACATATCAGTCATGCGTATTATTCAGGAGTATTGGATTTATAAATGTACTTTTACAATGTTGTCCACTGTGGGCAATTAATACATGCTGTATTTGCTTTTTACTCATGCTTTAGTTGACCGCATCGGAGCTATGTAGCAATTTTCGTGTGTTATTTTCTCACTATTCAACTATGTGATGGTCTATAGCATTGCACTTTATTTCATTTTAATGGTTAATTGGTGTCGTTATGATTATTATCTCATGTAGCTGCTGTGCATCACAACACTGTGAGAGATGGTCGTTAAAAGTAGAAGATATGAAACGATTACAGAGTTCTGATCCCAGATACCTTCGGTGGAATCACCGTTTGACAAATGTTGAGATCAGGCGAAGCGTATTAGGCCATATAGGCAAGACGACTGGTTAGGTTTTGAATCTTTATCGACTGAGATGGCTTGGACATATGTTAGGAATGCCGAGCCACCACCTATCATGACGTGCTATTTTAGGAGAAGTTGGATTAGGATGGAAAAAGGTTCAGGGTGACCAGACTAAAACCTGGCACCAGTCTGTGAAATCTCTTGCTACTGGTTTGAGTTGTGTAGGGAGATGTAGACTGCCTGGTTGGGTTGCTCGAGACGAAAGGGATGAGTGGTTGAGGATTCTTGGTAGCATGGCTGTGAATCGGTCACAGTGACTTAGATGTATTCACTCCTTGACATCTTTTAAAGCTCGAATATTTATACTAATCGTTATCTTGAGATTATTTATTGCCTCACACAGCTTTACATACTTTGATATCAGTTTTTGAATCCATCTGTTCATTGTATGGTACTATGAAGTGTGGCAACTTCAGTCGAGACACCAGTGTGCGAGTTTCTACGTTGATTTTGTCTGTCTGTCTACATCATCACTTTATGCATAACTATTTATAAGATTACTTGATTGCGTGTTTCAAATGTGTTGAATCAAATCAACTTGGTTCAAGATGACCGATGTTACATCCACGTGCTGAAAGCGTATTCAATCCAGGTTTGACGTAAAATTAAAGCTGAAGCTCACACAGCTATTTTGTAACTTTCTGTATTTAAAAAATTAAATTCTACTACTTAACATATATATATACATAATATTTTGACATGGTTCTGAATTCTTTTTCTACTATTCCTGTGCAATATCATAAAAGCTATTACTCACAAACTCTATGAATATTATATTGAATGATGTCACAAATGATATGCCAAACATGTGAACAACGAGTTGATGAAGTTGAAAAATTAAGCGATATACAAACAAAGTTATTGAAACATTACCAATCAAGTTGCGGCAGGTGCGAAAAAAACTGATATTTATGCCATTATTAAAACTGTCTTATCAAGAAGAAACCGAAGATAATCACAGTTATGTACTGTTTTGTAAAAATTGAATAGATAAAAACGTAACTGCATCAACAGATTGTGCTGACTAATTATTATAAAGGAACTGTCTTAAAAATATAGCAAAGTATGAACTTACCAGTGACTGACAGTATGTGGAATAATTCCTTATCCATCTGTTGTTGTATTTCACATCCGTTTGCTGATGGTAAATCATGAAGAGGAAAATTGTATCGGAACCCTCCTTCCAAGTGGCTTTGGATTTCATCAGTTCGTTTTAATGCGGTTGTGTAGAAAACTCCGATCCAAAAAAACTGTAAACTTTTATAGGGACTTTCAGTAAATTGTCATTTGGGTTCAAACAGAATTAAATATGTTAAAATGAATTCAGTCTGCATAATCATTTAGAAACACACTAACCAGAAAGGGTTATAACTCGAACTGCAAAATATTCAATCTACAATAACATGACAGATTCCTTTGTGAATTAGCTTCCCAATACGAACAACCAATGAGATTTGAAGATTTTTGATAAATGACGGTAAGTCCCACTTGATATGTAGCTGCGGTAAAAGTCCCTACCAGTCCCTACATATTCATATATCATTTTCAGATATCCAAGTTACGAATAGCGTCAAGGGAATATGTTGTTACTTGTATTATCCTGTCGTTGGTTGACCTGAATTGATCTGTCTCTGTTAGCATATGGACTCCTGCACGGATACCTCGATATCGCCTGTGTTTGAATTGTATATTAATGATGGATATTGGCTAGCAGTGGAATGCAGGAGGCTCTTTTAATGACTCAGTGGTCTAGTGGGCAACGCTGTGGCGTTTGAAGCAACCGGCCCCGGAAGATAGGTATGCCCAGCTGACGAGTCCCAAACTGGACGAAACGCGCGTCCTAGATTTCACTGCTAGCCGCTATCCATCATTAGCACCAAGGGAAATTTGAAAAGCAAGTTCAGAAAATTTTTTTACAGTGCTAGTTATCTTCACATTATCCTGACAATAAATCGATTTATGTGTGCTATCCTAACTCATTACTTTTTCTAGAAAATCTTTCAAATTATTTATCTGGTGAATATTTCATGCAAACAAAAATAAACACTAGTTCACATTATCGCTGCCTTCTTTTTCTGTTGTTATCAGCAATAACCTTTATTCTCTAGCATCTCATATGTGATCAACAAGTTCAGATTGACTGATGTACCGACAACCTCACAACGGATTGACATATAATTCTTTTTATCAAGAAAGGTGAAGGTATTGTGGCTTCAGTGAAGTTGATATGTGATGTGGAACTGAAATGCAACCTTTTATCTGTAGCATGCAATGTGATATAAACTGATCATTTCGTCTTATTCTTGATATAAGTGAGATAAATTCGAAAATGCAAACCTCTTGACTGAATTTCATTCCTTTGTTCAAATCTATGAAAAGACATAGTAGATTTATGATTTGCAGTGGTGCACAGTTGCTGCTCCTTTAGTTTTTTCGTGTGAGGTGAACACTAATTGTTTACTTAAGTTTACTGTCAGCAATGATGCCTTTGAAGTGAAGACAGGAGTAAGACAACGTTGCCCTCTACGATCACCAATCATCTTCCCCCGATTGTCGTCGACTAGACTCGACTAGACAGGACTGCATCGGGCAACAAACTACTGTGGGCAGAGAGAAGAGGGTCATACACTGGATCGACCGATGAAAAGACCCTAGAACAAGATTTCGATGCCCCCTCCACCCATCGCCCTCCCCCTCCCCACGATGATCTATGTCTAATGTCTTATCGCACAAACTCGAAGATCTACAGGCCAAAACTAACAAGTTCGCAAAAGAGGTGAGGCAACGAAGACAAGACTTCTTTCAGGTGAACGTAGAGAAGACAGAGGTGATGAAGATACCCAACCACCACCACCACCACCAACAACAACAACAAGCACCAATCACCATCAATGGGAGAAATCTAAACGAAGTTGTCTCTTACACCTACGCCTACACCTGCCTACCTAAGCAGCATAGTTTCAAATACAGGTGGCGGTGGCAGTAGCGTCACAGATGAGGATGTCAAAGCCATGATCGGAGAGGCAGCAAGACAGGCCTTCATTAATCTGAAATCAATCAGTGTGGAGATCTACTGCACTACACTACACCGCACTGCACTACACTACACTGCACTCAGCATAAAGCGTGAACAACATCCGGATTTCCAACACTAATTCAGTCAAGTAAGTCAGTGCTTCTTTGTGATGGTTGAGAGACTTGGTGCGTTACGGAAAGCATTTCCAACAAACTACAGACATACATCAGCAGTTGCCGCCTATGCTCACTCACTCAATACTGAATATCGATCAGATGGCCAGAATTACAGGAATAGGCAACAAGGAAGTTTGGCTGGCTGGCTGGCTGGCTGGCTGGCAACGAACCAACCAATAACTCATCACCCAACAAATATGCAGAAGAAAGTGGAGGTGGATTGGATTGGATTGGATTGGACATACACTGAGGAGACCATTTGGGGACATTACACGCCAGGCTAGGCCCTCGAGTGGAAGCTAAATGAGAAACGATGAGTTGGGCGTCCGAGGTGAGGGTGACATGGAAGAGATCGTGTGATGAAGGAATGAAAGCTTGTGGGCAGAGATGGAGCGAGGTTAAGAATACTGGAGAGAACAGAGTGGAATGGTGAGTTGCTGCTGAGGCTCTATGTTCCACTAGGAACCCAAGGGACTAATAATAATAAGGATTTGTGTCTAAGCTCAACATATCAAGTACACTAGGATAGCTTGAATAGAGAACCATTTGTACTTGAAATATCTGGCTACTACGATTCACTTTTGTAATATACTGTCAGCTCAAATTAAGTTGGTGTCAGTCAATCAACAATAATGCAGTTGTATGAAAAGCTGAGGTATAAATTTTCATGGGAAAACGACCATCGTCGCTATTAAAGTAAAGTTGCTACGACTTACAACCGTCACCTTCAAATGTTCTTTCATACTGCTTCGCTTCTTTGATCTAAAGGTATTTGATAATATCTTTTTAGTTTCTGCTCGTTGAAGATAACAATGGCAAACAGCGTGATGTTGGTGGGACCTAGTAAACTATAGTAACTCACATTTTGTTTTGATTGTTACCGTTATATTTCAATTGTTCTTGTTTTCAATAACTCCCACGTTTTCATATTTTCCGTTACTTGTTTCAGGAGTAGTACAACATGGAAGGTGGTAAATTTACGTACTGGTCTTGTCGGTTGTATTCCGTGCAGCATTTTAAAGCCGTATACAGGAGCGAATGATTCTTCATCTCGTGATCAAACATTAATAACAAGCCACAATAACAGTACTAATAATGGCAGTGGTAATGCTAGTGGAAATTCGAATAATATGGGACTGGTAGCAAGAACTCGTTTACGTATGAGTCGAAGAGGTTAGTGAGATATTCACTGTACCGTTAGAATTTTATTGTTATCGATTAAGGAAAAAGGGTATTGGAAGATTCAGTCCTATAAGTGAGTCGTTTTTTCCATAGTCACTCAATAGCAACGTCTTTGGTTGTTGTACAAATCCGAGTTGTTGAGTAGTCACCAGTTTATTAAGTCTAGAAATACGCCATACTTGTGAGTGCTGATAAACACGAAACAGATGTTCATTTCTTCACAATTTCCAGTGACCTTTTTTAGCTGGAAAACAATTGAAATTTATTCCACAATCATTCTCAGCTTATTTCCCTGTCCATAGTTATCATGTCATCGTCACACACTCTATGTGGGCTCCGTAATATCATCGGTACAAAAAGTCAGTGGGAACATTCCTCCTGATTATTATAACAAGGTTAAAATTGTCCAGAAAAAGGTATTCATTGATTATCCATTAAGAAAGTATGTGACAGGTATCTTTTTCAAAGGTTTATCACCGTTGCCGACTGTAAGTTTATTATAAAAGGATGCATAATAAACGCCGAAAAAGAGCTTATTTCATAGCAGGACTGGTAATTGTTTCTTTGATTCTTATCGTAGTCAGATATAATCATCAACTAAATAGTTTTTCGATCAAATATCATGCGTTGTAGTCATTTTACAGTACGCTGAACGTATTTATTAAGTCATGTAATTGTTTATTTATGCACTGTATATCATCTAATTGGCATGATTACTCGTTTCAGAATCATCTCGTGCGTACGTAAATGTAGGAATGATGAATACCCTACCAAATTTCTGGCTACTGATAAGCAAAGTTAAGTCAGAACCTAATTTGTTGGATGATGATAGGGTTACACCAGAAGACTTCTCAACAAGATCATAAGTAAATATTTATTCGATGAAACACTTTTCATTAGACTTGAAATATCAACTGATCTATGATATAAGTGTATTTGTGTGACTGAAATAAAGCAGAAAAGTTGATTTAACTTTTCCATTACCAGACAGAAGATATCTCCATAATTCATAAATTTCAAATAAAAAAAATTCTGACCACGCATTTGTGAAACACCTTCACAGTACTATGAGTTCATCTTTGATAGTAGTATAAGCGGACTTATAGCTCATTGGTTAGATACTGGACTTTGACTTTTAGTTGTAGGTTTGAATCCTGTCCTACTAGAAGAGGCCTTATCTGTCTGGTGGTATCATTTACCCCTGAAGAACGGATGTAATTCAGTACCCTAGTACCTGAATCTGTAACTTGTTTGTCGAGTCCTGTTCTTGCTTTCACTAAAACCACTGATATCAATAACCATACCACATAAAACTGATGATATTACTAAATACAAAAGTTACGCTGTAGTTCATTGGAATCTACATATATGATTCTCATTTTTTGAGTTCCTACTCTGACTCAATAAGAGTATTCACAGCTGAATAGTATCAAAAACTCTCTCATAGCCTATTTAAAACACCTATGTAAAATGTGAACTGCGGTGGGACTCGAACCAGTGACCACAGGGTTTCCGGCCTAGTGCTCTACCAACTGAGCTACGAGGCTAGAAACCCAGTGGTCACCAGCTCGAACCCCACCGTGGTCTAAATTTTCAGTTCATCTTCAATCATCACCCAGTATCAGTACTAGTCTACCAAATCACGGCTATCTCAAACAGTCAAAATGATAACTTATATAAAAGTTTCTAAATGATAGAGTATTTGAATGTGGCAACGTATAGCTATCCACTATTGAACTGAAAGTTAAGTATATTTTATCTGCCTAATTGATCATAGGATAAATCTAGATTCATATTCCGCAAATCTCTATCCGTTCCCCTCTTTTTAATGTCTTTACTAAGGAAGGAAGAAAGTCGATATCAGTAAATCTGAAAGCGTAATAATCGAATGATTGCATAAAACATCACTATATTTTTTATCTGAAGGCTACTATTCATACTTCGATCATTTGCTTTGAAATAGTGTCCAATTGCATTTTATTGGTCAAAATATTTTAAGATTTCGTCCAGCAATTATAAAACAGTATAGACTTGCGTATATTGAATCGTCTTTTAGACCTCAACTCTCTTCTGGAATTATACTGTTGAAACTGACATATTAATATAAAAAACTATTAACTCACTAGTTTGAAGTAAAATACATTTTTCAAAGTTTAAACAACTGAATAGTATTATTAACTCATACAAAGACTAGTTAATGTATTCAGTCTCAGGTTATATAGTCAACTTTAGGCTATTAATTCGTATAATTCACCCTTACTTGAAGAATATAGTTTTTAGTCTATTTATTTTATCGAAAAGTATATAGGATTAGTGTTCCCTTTGCTAATCCATTCCCATTTGATAGTTTATAGTAATAATAATTCAAACTTATCAACTATTCATGCTTATATCTATCTGTATGCAATGTATACAATCTTATTGTAATCTATCCAAATTTAGCATCATTAACAGACTTGGCTATACGTAGTAAGTTGTCTTTTCCAAAGATAGTTTTTTTTTCTCATTTTCGTTTCATCAGTTATTTATAATGTTTATTTAAAATGTGCAATTAACTAAATATTTTGAATGTTGCATCGTGTAATAAACAGACTGTTTTGCTTGCTATTTATAAAATGCATAAAGTAACCTATATTTCTAGGCTAATGTAAGCATGAGGATTTTTTCTTAAGAATTAAATGTCTGGATCATTGAATTAAAAGTTCGTTTTGTTTAAATAAAGACTGATATATCAGTAGTGAGATTTGTTAAGGATTGACCTTATAATTGTAGTTCACATTGTGACTGACCCTATCCTTGAAAAAATACACATCATTGTAATGATACTTGTAATTTCCCGTTGCTATACAGGGCCGAATTGCTCGACCTCTGTTGGCAGGATGGACTCCTATGTATAACAAGTATCATTACAACAACTGACACCCGTTGCACAAGAGGTGGCTATCGTGCCCAGCGGATAACGCGTTTGGCGTTTGAAAAAAAGATACCGGGTTCGAACTTCGGTGGAAACATCATTTACTGGGGTGCAGGTACATTCAGCTGATGAGTCCAGAATAGGACGGAATACATGTTTTGGGTTCTTCTACTAGTCACCAAAATCAATATAAAAAACATCATGTTGATTTTATTACTGAAAAGATGAAATATTCCAAATATGTATATATCCGTGTCCAGTTAACAACGATGTAAAAGTTCACTTATTTGTTGCTGAAATACATTGAGTGATACTCATTATTTCGGTATTTTTACTTCCTAACGTTTATACCAAAAAGTAAATTTGCTTTAACCGACATTTATCTATTTATTGCTAATAACTTTATCAGAGTTATCGTAAACTGGAATTTATCCAAGCTTATATATGCCAAGGCTTCTTCCGCATGAATGATTCTGCGTTGTCATATCATTGAACAAAGATGATATATGGTACGTTGTCTGTAAAGAGTGTATGAATGACAGATTGAGATTCGTGCATACATACATGTGTTGGTAGTTCTTATCTCATGCATGTATGTTGGTTTTATCAGTATGTGGAGGTGAGTTGAAACCAGGTCAAACTACGTTTTATTCCCTCATACCTATTTTGACCATTTTGATTCCACTTAATGTGAAGAGATTATGCTATAAGACGTTCTTTGTAATTTCTAAAGCCTTTCCGAATAGTTTCGATATTGTCAAAATCGTCGTTGTGACCTGAAATTATAGTATGTAGAGCTATGGCTGATATGTTTTCAAGTTTTCTTCAGTTCCACTAGATTTCTTTGGGGTCGGTGGGAAGCTCTTAGGTGTTCATTTTTCCTAATTTTGATTTCACAGGGAGGTTTGTCTTATGTATATTGCATCGCACTCTGAACGTTTTATTTTATAAGCTCAATTGGATTGGGAATCTAGTGGGATATCGTTCTTTAAGTGGACTAAAATGATCTATTATGTGTTGAATGTTCTGTAGAACACTCTGATATTGTATTTGTTGAGCACTTTCCCAATTTCATGCGATATGTTTGATCTGTAAGGGATAACTATTGTTGAGGCCCATGATTTAGGAGTAGTTCTACGATCTAATTCAATGTTTTTTTCTATTTTACCGGATAATTATTCATTTGTGTGTCTTGTTCACGTATTTTAATTCTTTAACTCTTTCATTTTCATCTGTTACTAGAGTGTGTGCTCTCTTTAAGAGACTGGAGGCAACAGAAACCTTCGTATTAATTGGATGTAATGAACTGAAATCTGAACATTTGTTTGAATTTGTAGCTCTCCTGAGAATGGTTATACCTAAATGTCCCTTCCAGCACTGTTTCAACTACAGGTGGCGGCACAGACGAGGATGTCGAAGTCAGAATCGGAAAAGCAAGACAGGCATTCATTAGCCTGAAACCAGTGTGGAGATCTTCTGCACTCCACTCAGCATGTGAAACAAGATCCGGATTTTCAACACCAACGTCAAGTCAGTGCTTCTTTGTGGTGGTTCAGAGACTTGGCGCGTTACGAAAGGGATTTCCAATAAACTACAGACATTCATCAACAACTGCCTACACTGGCTCACTACTGAAGATCAGATGGCCAGAATAATAAGATTAAGCAACAAGGAGCTCTGGGAAGGAAGCAACGAAGCAAGAACCTATCACCCAACAAATGTGGAGTAGAAGGAAGTGGAGATGGATTGTATTTGGCATACACTGAGAAGGCCGACTGGGGACATCACGCGTCAGGCCAGTTGCTCGAGTGGAATCCCCATGGGAAGTGAGGAGTTGGGCGAGGGTGTCCGGGGATGACATGGAGGAGATGGTGCGAGGAGGAAATGAGAGGTTGTGGGCAGTCATGGAGCCAGGTTGAAAAGATTTCAGAGAACAGAGTTCACTGGATACGTGCTACTGAAACCCTATGTTCCATTAGGAACCCAAGGGACTAATAATAATAATAATATTTAAATGTCCCTTCTCTTTCTGCTCAATAAGATAATCAAGGAAGGACAGTTCCTCCTTATCTATTTCTTTTTCTGAGCTGAACTTGATACTGGAAGATCTAGAGTTCAGCTAATGCTTAGTATAAGTCAACTTTTAAAATTAACAATGTTTCATCAACATATCTCAGCCAAATTTTCGGCTTTAGTAAGTGAATGAAGACACTTTCTTCGAAATTACTCATGAGTAGGTTAACTAGGTGAAACAGGTGTACACACCGTTAGTTTGCTTGTGTCATTTTCCTTTGTATGTGAAGTAAGTAGTCTCTATACAGAATTGTAAGTCCTTGATAGTGTCACCAGTATTCAATGGACATCTTTCTGACAGTGACGTGTCTGAGTCTAGTAAATTAAAAATAATATCTACTCTATGATTAATTCGAATACTGGTGTATAAAAAATTGATGCCATAGCTTACCATAATTTCATCTTACTCATTTTTAAGTGAAATTTTGGATTTAAAATCAATTTGAGTCCTTTATTATGTATTCTGAATGCTTTTGTAGAGGTTTAAGTATTGAAGCCAGATACTTGAATCTTGGGTAGACCGTAGAATCTTGAAGGGATATATGACTTCAGTTTGAGCTTGAATATTGTAAATTCCAGTTTACTATAACTTTGATGAAGCTATTAGCATTCAGTTATGAAACGTCGGTTATAGCGAATTAGTTTTTTTTTACAAACACTAACAACAGCATCAACAACAAGCACCAATCACCATCAACGGGAGAAACCTAAAGGAAGTAGTCTCTTTCACCTACACCTACCTACCTGGGCAGCATCGTTTCAACTACAGGCAGCGGCACAGACGAGGATGTCAAAGTCAGGATCGGAAAAGCAAGACAGGCTTTCACTAATCTGAAATCAATGTGGAGATCTACTGCACTCAGCATAAAGCGTGAACAAGATCTGGATTTTTAACGCCGACTGGGGACATTACGCACCAGACCAGGCCATCGAGTGGAATCGACAGGTGAAACGCCGAGTTAGGCGTCGGAGAGTAGGGTGATATGGAGGAGACCATGTGAGAAAGAAATGAAAGCTTGTAGGCAGTCGTGACACCAGGTTGAGCAGACTGCAGCAAAGAGAGAGAGAGAGAGAGTTCAATGGAGGCGTGCTACTGAAGCCGTATGTTCCACCAGGAACCCAAGGGAAAAATAGTAATAAATAATAATAAATTTACCAAAGGCCTAATTTTTCTCAATACATTCAGTGATCTTTTAAAACTGAATAATGGGAACGAAGTTTAAACTATTGAAATCATTCATTTTCATTCTATATCAGTCGGTGTAAAACACATTGTATAAGTATTAACTGTATTTCAAAATTGTTAGTTAAATGTATTTGTATGCGATTGGGTGCTGGTAATTAACGCACACTTGGATTGTACATTCATCGTTTTTAAGTACGAAGTTATTAACCATTTCCATTCTGAGTTATCGTCTAATCACTCTACGTTTGAGTAAAATAGACAAAGTTACAAATAGTGAAGTTATCCATCATTATTATTTGTGTTTAGATTTTAGAACCGATGATTTTCATTCCAAGTAAAGTTGTAGTATTCAAAACTATGAACGTAGTAAGATTTTATGCGATACATCAGTAGTTTCACTTGGAAATTCTTTTTGACGTTGTATGGTACAAATTTAATCTATAATATTCATTGAACGAAACTTTTTATTACTCACAAGCTGCTTACTTTGAATATGTTGATGTTTGTGGGAAATACACTCTGATGTTAATTAGCGATTGTTGGCATTGAAGTTAGAGAACTGTACTCTTCGAAGTTATTGAGTCATCAGCTTCAGTGTTGAATTGTGCACACCGAAGTCTCTTAATTCTGATCTTATGTACCTCAGTGGTTTCTACTTGAACCATTCAAATTGACGGTCAACAACTTCAATGATTATCCTCATACTTTGATATTCACCACTTTCAGTCTGTTTACACTGAATTGAATTAGAATGTGGGAAATAGGTAACGTGGATCTTAGTGGATCCATTATTATACTTTATCCGAAACTGAACCCAAATAAACTCAATAACCTTGTGCACATTCGTAGGCAATGAGTCACACTTATTGTGTGAGGGCTAGTGATACTACTGCCTAGCTCACCAAACCTTGGTAGTTGGGGCGTAGGTCGAACCCGTGACCCACTGATTGAAAGCCATCTCCCTAAAACTATACTCTATTGTTTAAATTAGTACAGAGGGCGACGCGAAACTCATGTCCGTATATATATATATTCTCATTGTGATAATTTTTTAAAGACTGATTAGATTCAAAGATAAGTTTTTGACCTGACAGATTTCCAAATAAACATATTCCAGTTACCATATCATTTTGCTGATGAAGGTATCAGACCTATTTTTTGTCACTTTGACTCCCATCACCGTGAGTTGGTTCTTAAAGTTTCATCGGCTAAGGAAACAGACTTCTGGTTGGCAATTTTACCACGGTATGGATATGCTTCGAATCTCTGTCATCATATTCACTAGTCGAATATGCT